ACCCTCAAAGCTCTAAATTATTCTATCACATGAATCTTCAAGACCTTAGGACCAAATCCTAAGTCCAAATCTTTATTTGTTAAGACCTGGAATTTACAAGTGAACAATCCTCTTTCATGCATAATACTTGGAGCTTTCTCAAAGCTCCAAGTGCTAGAGTGCATGAATCATTTGAAACTTGGAATCAACTCTCAAGTTATTTTATCTCTTGTTGTTGGAACATAAAACTAACACACATCCCCTCATGTATGATAACTTGGAGCCTTCCAGGCTTCAACCAATATCATTACATGATTGTTAGACCTTAGAAACTAATTCTAAGTCATTCACCTTTTGTATGTTGAGACAAAATCAACAAACAATCTCCCTCTTTCATGCATGATTACTTGGGACCTCTCAAGTCTTCAAACATATCATTACATGAATTATTTGGAGCTTAGGGCCAAGTCCTAAGCTACCTCCTTCATTTGTTGAGTCATAAAATCAACAAATGAGTATCTATCTCTATTCACTTGACTCAAACTAAGTGAATGATGTCTTCTCAATGTTCAAGAGATATTCATAAACTTGTAATGCACAAATTTCATTTTTCTCTTCCCCTTTCCAACAAGCCAAGATTGTATGATGGGGACATCAGCTCGTGGAAGGTTTATCAGAGGCGTGACCGCCGATTTACGGCCATGATCGAGTCTTTGTACTTTTGAGTTATTTTCTTATTTATGTATTTTTCTTTTTTTCAATGTCGTGTATTTGTTTTCTAGTTATACCCTTTTAGTGGGTGATGACGTATGTGAGCTCGGAGGGCAATTGTGTCTTTTATTTTCATGAGTCTCTTGTACTAGGCTATTTATAGCCATTTGTTTTGTTTTTCTAAGGATGTATAATTAATCAAATATTGTTGTCTTGTGTGATTTCTCATGAGAGCTTGAGAGTCATGGAGAAGGATCCCTAGGAGAGGGAAGAACTCGGATCACCCACCAACCTTGGAGACGACCGAGTTCGTGGTTTTTTATTTTTCTATCTCTTTCTTTTCCTCCCACCACCTTTGGCTTTACTACCTTCCTCCCTTGTCTAGCGGCCGGCCATCCTAGCGTGTCCCATCCGACGGCTAGGTCCAACCACCACCCCACCCGAACCATCATCCCACCCACAAATTTTCCCAAGCTACTTCATCCCAAACCGCCAGCCTTCCCCTTTGCCCCAACCCAAGCAAGCCGCCGATCACCCTATAGCCTTACCCCCTTTTGGTTTTATTTCCTAATCAAGATTGCCATAATTTTAGTTGGATTTTGAATTCAAATTCACCCAATTTGAAATTTAAAATCTTTCCTAAAATTATAAAATTTATTTTAGGAAATTTTTCAAACTTGAGTCCGTTTGAATTTTAAATTTGAATGAGATTTAATTAAACCTTTCCAATTTCCTAAATCCAAATTAAGAAACCCCAAATCCCATCCCCTAATCCCTCCTAACCCCATGATGCCGCCGGCCCTAGCTTAGGATATTAAATTTTCGGATTTATTCATAAAAAAAAATTGGAAAAATATTTTTTTTTCTCAAAAAGTCCAATTTCTCCTAATTAGAGAGCTCCCATAACCCTTAGGAACAAGTTTAGTTAACATGCAAGCTTAGAAATATAAATTTAGAAAAGCCTTAATTTGAAAAACCTAAAAATCAATAAACAAAAATCAAAATTTTTACATAAACTTGCTTCTAAACATCTCCTATAACTTTCTTAAATAAAATCTTATGTAAAAATAAAACCCTAATTTTGGAACCTAGGTTTTCTTTTAGCAAACTTCAAGTTTAAGACTTATAAACATAGTCATATCTAAGCCCTAACATTATTAATGAATTCATGAAAATCTAAGGATAGAGAACAAGATTTTTCAAGTTTATCTTACCTTTTATCTTTTCCAAGGCTTCCTTTAGCTTTTTCCTAAAGAATCTCGTCGGAAAACCAAGCCAACCGCCGGCTTTCACGCGTCTCCTGCTGTTCTCCCCTTCACTCTCGTCCGCTCTCCTCTCTCACGGCCGAAAGAAGCACAAGGGACCGATTATTTCGGTCCCTTAAGGCTTTAAAATGGTTATTAAGCAAAAGGACACATGTGCCCCTCTCCCATAATTTTCTATAATGTCATATGAAGGGTAAAAATGGAAGAAAGGCTAAAAATTTAATTAAATCATCTTCGGCAAATTTTAATTCTCAAACCGTGCGAAAATTGATATATGTTCTTTATACCATTTTGATCGAAATTTCGTGCAGAATTTAATAAAATTTATTTCATCGAATTCCGAAGACTTTGAAATTTTGCCTAAATTCATTGCGGCGCATCGAAGTGCGTGCGGCGCATCCGAACGATAGTTTCGGGTTTTAGATGGCCATGTCCAGAAGGGCGTAAAATAAATCATGATTTTTCTAATACTGTTTGCTTGCAAGCGCTGCTTAAAATCCCCCAAGAGGCATGACCAATAGGGTAGAAGCAGGTGCTTGTCACTCTAAGTGTTAGAAAAATTTTGGATGTGATGTGATTATCATATAAACTGCCTTCTAACTCTATTTTGCAGACTTGAGTCTTTTTCATTTTCTATCATCTATTTGATTAGATTTAAGATGTACAACTTGTGGGGTTTAAACTAAAAAAAAAGTGAATCGAGGAAGGATGTACTCCTTTGGAGGTGAAGCTTAAAGGTTCACTTGAGAGTTAAAGTTTGAAGACCCCTACAAGTAGAGTTTGTAAATTTAATTGTGTTGTATAATGATTGACAACTCAGCTGCCAAACATGTCTGTAATAACTTGGACTCTATTTATATTCCTTGCATTTTATTTATATATAAAAGCATATTTTGATTGTTTACTGAATGTTTAATAGAAAAGCATGCCTTTTTTCCTATGTTCTTTTCCTTGCTTTTGCTTGGGTGTGGCCTGGACTGTTTGATGCGGCAGGCTCTTAGGACAAAAATAAGTTCTCCACTTCTTAATATGTAAACAATCTAAAAAATGAAATTAGACTCTATGATTTCCTAATAAAAGAAAATTGCATGGCTCTCTTTTAAGGAGCCAAATTTTCCAAATTTAAAACAATCATGCATGGTCAAAAATGTATCTCATGTAGAAAAGCCCTCACTTAAGGATTAGATAACAAAAGTTTGCTTTCTTTGTGAGTTTGCATTCTGCATACCCTACATACATTGGCATCTTGGCCCCAAAGCCAAATTGTAAGCCCTACTTAAATAAAAACAACATTCCCACTCTTTATATGCAGTAAGACCGGAGTACATGAAAAAGCGATTAGGAGAGTTTAGTTGGTAGTCCTTTCCAGACAGGACAATAAATCCAGAGGTCGGACATGCTATGCCTCATGTGAGGTATAGCTTATAAGTCCCTTTTGCATTCCGTTAGACTTATGTTCGAGGCACTACTTATGAGTAGTCCTCACCTTAGTTTTAGGATCTGAGGCGATGGTTGATTCCAATCACCATATAAACCCTCACCTTTCAAGCAGTTACTCCAACATATGTCGTTGGAATGTAAGCCCTAACCTTCTAATCAAAATGATCAACTTAAACAAAAATTAAATTTCTAAAATGTAAAGCCAAACATAGGATAGTTTGAGCACCTCTGAGTTTTCCTCAGAATCAAGTGCTCATACTTCACCTCCTTTGGTTCTCATTCAAAAATCCAATTCTAAGTTGATATGTTCTTCCTCAAAGTTCCTAAAGGACAAAATCCTTTAAGCAAGACTTTCATGGATTTCAAAATCAAAGTTTAACCAATGTCTAAAATGACTTCCAAAGGAAGAGAAAAAATCACTAATTTAATCAAAAGTCTTATCAAGCCAAAGCTTGGGCTATAATTAACCATAGGGGATTTCCCCTATTGGACGTATGTATCCCAGAAATAAATAAACCCCATTCAACCAAATATTGAATGAGGGAATTTCTGTTTGAAATTGTAAATTTTATCATTGAGTCCATAAAAAAAAAATGATATTTTTACCATTCGGGATAATATATCATCATTTTTATGCTGTGCTCAATCATAAATTATGCAATATGTTTGAGAACAAAAAAAATTCTCCAACATTCTTAAGGGCTCCTTACCCGTTTAATTTATACGTGCAACTAAACTAATTTAATGCTGCATCCCTGTTTTTTTCCGCCTATAAAGCTGCACTCAAGTTACTAGTAAACCCACATGAATCAATAGGACTGCTTAATTTCTAGTGATTTGTGGCTACTTTTATTATTTTTAACGCTTTCCTGAAACTGGCAATATAAATACAAGGCAAACAGAAAGCAAAGAAAATGTAAATGATTGGTTGCAGTTCCATTATAGGGTTATAGAATCTTTTGTAGGACTTCTTATCAATCTGTCTTTTATGGTTCACTGGAAACCTTTCAATACCCTGCCATTTTTCTCCCTTTTCAAAGCTACAGAGTTGTTGCAAATGAACCACTATCTATCACTTGAATGTCAAGCCTCTAAGTAGCTATTGATTTGCGGTTCCTTTTATTTTGTCTACTCGTAATAGTTTGATAAAATCTGTTTTGATGGATTTAAAAGAAAAATGGGTGGATCAACGGTGATAAAAGTTGTTCAAAAAGAATTTGTGCAAAAGATGTTTAGTGGCTCATGTGACGCTTAATGAAAGTGAATGAAGAATTCGAATTTATATAGCAGACACCAAATATTTGGATAAGTTTAATGACTATAATGAGGATGATGATTTATTTTGTCTTCAAATATAATTCTTCCTAATTTAAGTTGTACTTAGGCTTTATGAAAAAAATTGCACTTAATTTTTTAAGATCTACCTAAACGAACTTTCTTTTTATTTTGGTGGAAGCAACCTTATAAATGATGCAACTTCTCATCATTTTTTTACTGATTATGCATTTTTAATATTATTTGATTGGATATGTATTTATTTACTGTTTGTTCTGAAAAGGAGAATTTTCGATGTTTCTGCATTTTAGTAACTTTGTCTGGGTGCAGGTATTGAGCAATGATGATCCTCCTCGCAAAACATTTATCTATAAGTTGAATGTTCCTGTCAGTGCTGCATGGATATCTTTGGCTGTTGCTCCTTTTGAAGTTCTTCCTGATAATCATATTGGCATTGTATCTCACATGTGTCTAGCTTCAGATTTACAAAAGCTTCAGAATACAGTTGGCTTTTTCCATAATGCATTTAGGTCGGGCTTTAATATATTTAGGCTGCAGCGGAACTTTTACTCTGTTCGTTTCATCTCTGCATTTTCACGTTCTAGGATCATTTTTGTTTTTACTTTTTATGTTTCTTCTGTAGGCACTATGAAGATTACCTTTCCACTTCGTTTCCATTTGGTTCGTACAAGCAAGTCTTTATCCCACCTGAAATATCTATTTCTTCTGTTAACATGGGGGCTTCTATGTGCCTCTTTAGCTCCAAACTCTTGTTTGATGAGAAAGTTATAGATCAGGTCTGTTTTTTTTCCTTAGTTCAGCTTTCATATATGGTTGTGAAAAATTCTGTACCTCTAATTGATTACTATAATATATTGCTTATTTTTTTTAAGTTTTTGTTGTATTATATCATTTTATTTTGTACTTTTTTCTATATTTAGTAATCTTTTGCATGTTAAGTTATGTTTCTGCTTCCGTTATTTATCTTCTGTTTTCAAAAATATCTTCTTATGTTAGAAACCGTGTTTGGATAGAAACAAATTATTTTTTTTCCTGATATTCTTTAAACATCATATGAGGCGTTTTCACTTGTTTTAAAAGTATTTAATTATTTATTATGAAACGAATTAAACAAATCTGCATTCCCGCATTTTTCTACTTGAAAACAATAAAAAAATAGAAGCAAAGCTAAAAAAAAAGTAAACAAAACAAAATTAAAGCACATCCAACATCCCTTATTTATCAAATCTCAGTCTCAGTCTTCTTTGTCAGAGTTTCTTTTAACTTCAGTGGTGGCATATCTTCTTTTTCCATTTTTTAAAAATAAACATTTGCTATTCCTTCCTTTTTTACATTTCACATGAATCTTGCTTTTTTTTGCTGGAAAAGATAATTAGCTTCTATAACTTAAAAACAGCCTGTAACTTAAAAACAGCCTGTGTTAGTCTTGATTTTGATTGAGGCGCTTAGGGTAATTATGAACAGTTTACCTATTTCACATTTATTTTGAATGAAAGTGAAAGCTGGCTAACAACGTCGTTCTTCAATGGAACTTATAAATAGTTTCAAAAAAAAAAAATTGTTTATGTAAACTTCCATGACTTAATAGTTGTAAATGCTTTGTTTTTCATGAAATTAATTTGACAACGCACATTCATGTGTGCAATTTAGAATGTTCTAGGTTTGTTCTTCTTCATGCTCATTAAGAGTTTGAAAATTTAAAACTATTCTTGCTTTAATAAGTGCTACTATTTTTTGAACTTTTTGATGTGCTTATATCCGAAGTCTATTGTGTTTCTGATGTATCTATAAATTTTGTTCGGCTCTTAGTGTGTTAAACTTCTCAAATAGTAGTGTGATGCTTCTCTATGCTCTGAAATTACCAAAAAAACTTCATCTTGGTGTTTGATTCAACCCTAGATCTAATTGATGATAAGGTCATGTTTGTGAAGTACATTATTTTAAAACGAAGTATTTGATTTAAGTGCTCTTGATATTGATTTCCATGCTTTACTATGCTATGAAATATTATGATAAGAGAATAATGATTTTTTGAGTTGGAAATGGAGCTGGTAGAGTGAGAATTGATTTTGCTTTAGATAAATCAAAGATTAGACATGCTTGATATTTGTTTGTTGAAAATCACAAGGAAAAAATTTTGGGGTTTGCCTTGCTTCTAATAGTAGGATTACTAGGAATCACTTTTCCCTAATATAGTTTGATGTTATTGGTATGTAATGCTTGTTATTGGTTGCCATTTTTTATGATGCTTGATAAAGGTTATGTAATGCTTGATATTAGTTGTCTTGTTTTATTATGCTAAGAAACATGATGATAAGAGAATAATCTTGTTACTAGTAGGAAATTGAGCTTGTAGAGTAAGGATTGAGTTTGTTTATCTTAGCCTCTTTAGATCACATATAATACATATAATACATGAATAATTAAATAAACAAAAAATTAGATACTCATGATTTTTCTAGGTTGAAAAATTGAGAAGGGAAAATACATGGGTTATGTTTAGTTGAATTGCTTTAATAGAAGGATTACAAGAATCAACCTTTTCCCATATAATTATATGAGGTGTGAATGTAATGGAAAAGCTATCAATGCTAGTTAGCATTTGTGGTGTAGGATGGTGGTCAAAGTACCCAAAAGTTGTTATGTTTTTAGTCTTGTTGGATATTGTTAAGGCATAAGTCTTATTGGAGATGTTAGTGATGCAAGCGAGTTTGCAGCACATGTTTTGATGGCGTGATGGTTGTGGCATATTGATTGATGCAACACACATCTATGGTGCAACATAAGGTTTCAATACCTAACTTGATATGTTGACAACTATAACACAAAAGAGGGTTGCAAAGTATTGTGGCACAATTGGAGGTTATGTGACAAGTCTTGACACAACAACGATGATACCGATTTTTTCGAGGACTCAACGATCCTTTGAACTTTAAGAATCCTTTTAAATGAATTGAAAGAGGGGCTATATATAGTTATCATGAAGGGGATTCTATTCCTTATTTATAATATTTCTAGTTGTTATCTATAACAGACTGTGTAGATTGTGTCCTCCACTCCTCCCATGATCAAAATGTAATCGGATGATACTGTCCTTGGGATTGCTTGAGCCTTCGGTGTAAATCATCATCTTTAGGTGCTCTTTTACCTTGGAAAATCATAACGTCACCTCATGGAGAGATAGCTGTGCCCACAAATTGATTTTGTATAGGCATTTTGCATGCAGCTATTTCCATAGCAGTTTTGGCTTCAGTTTCTAATACTCCACTCATTTCATAAAGTATTCAGCCCGGTTTAACAGCGGATATCCAATATTTGGGGGATCCCTTGCCCGAACCCATTCGTGTTTCTATAGGTCTTACAGAAAAATAAGATTTATAGTACTCATAATATAAATAGAACAATAATTTTTCTTTCTATAACAATTTTTAAGTTCAGTGAAGTATTTCGTGTCTAGTGAATAAATGGATAGAGCCTTATGGCTCCAATACGATACTTCCATTAGTGATTTGATTAGACCACATTGTAGATGTCAACATCATGAGTGCATTAGTTATAGATCATTGTTTGGATTGCCAGATCAGTGAAAATAATTTTAGTAATATAGATCAATGTTTGGATTGCCATATTTTTGCCATCTTCTATTTCTGGTTGGCATAGATAAGTTCTTTTTGAAAGGTCTATTTTACTCAAAATGATTTGAAAATGGTAATCTATAGAGGTCCTAGTGAAATCCATCTAGGACATGGTTTTGGAGTTTTTATGCTCTTTATGCATGCCAATGGCATTTAATTCGATCAACATGCTCCTCATTTGCTATTGAGTATGGGGATCAGTTCTAGCGGCCTTTTGACTCTTGCAGGTGCAACAATCGGAAGGGTTGCTCTTCACTCCATGTGAGCATATGCTCTTGCAAGTGTTGAAGGTGGATGGCTTGAGTCAGATTTGTTCAATATGGTCCAATTTGGATCATTTCATCTTGGTTTAGCTTGTTAAAGGTTGCTTGAGTTTTGAATAGTGTGATTTTGGTGTCCACTGATCCTTCAGGATACATTGGATCATAATGAGGTCTTTAGTTATTCTTTTGTTGTTTGATCTTTGATTTTCCTTTTTTGATTAAAATTGTATCCATTCAATTCCTCTTAATTATTTTGAGATTTGAGTTATTTGATGAGGTTTGTGATGGATCAAATAATTTACTCTTATTTGTGGGCTTCGAAAATTAGGCCCCGGCCTCCGCTCGCGCTGATTGTGCTTTTTTTTCTTTCGACGAGGGAGTTTTAACAGATAAAGTTTCGGGGTAAATTTTGGAAGGTAGATAGGTTTGTAGATAAGATACTACCCAGAGATTTCTCCCTCATTTTGCGAGGACTTTATAATCTGAGTTTTGGTTTCCTATAGGCGCAAGCCCCTATAGTTAATTACCCCTCCCGATCACTAGAGAGAACTTTCGATTAAGGCTAGTCGTCGATCAGATACGTAGAATATACGTGTTATCTGGTATATAGTAGCAGCAATAGGTTTGGATTGGAAGTTTGAAGAGTTTAGAGATTTGAGGTTTGATATTTAAAATAGAAATTGCACCATCTTGTACTTAAAGCGGGGATGGTGGGGGAATGAATGATGGACCCGATCAAGATCCCATGGTTCTGTCGTCCCGGGCCATCATGGTCCCTGGTCTACTTAGTCAGAGGAGGTAGTCGACCCAACCTGACAGAAGGATCCTTGTCGGCAGCCATGGGTTGCTTCGTCCAAGGGGACCTTGTAGATCTGGGATGAATGTTTGTCTAAGGGAAAAAATTTGAATCCACCTTAGCTAACAGAGGGCATTGTGCCTTATCGATTATATCATATTGATTCATATCTCAAGGATTTGATGCCATTAAGGAGCGTATTGGCTCTGGCCATAACCGGTATTTCGTGGTGCCATTTGGCGGCAAAACCACTCGGTTCAGAGGGCCCCAGGTCATAATCGTTTATCCTGCGGTGCCATTTGGCGGAAAAATCTCCGGTTAAAGGACACGTATCACGTCTTTACTGACAAGAGATTATTTGAGAATGGATCCTAGTGATATTTTCGACCAGACGTTTAACTCTTTGTGAGCTGAAGTAATTTTTAACTTGTCCATCCTGACAAACTGTTGCGGAGGGTGGATGGATTTTGCTTTAATTGTTTTGATGATTGGTTTCAAATTTAAATATCTTAGAGTATGATGATTTTTGGATTTTTGTGGAATTTGGATTTTTTTAGAAGTTTTAGGGCATTTTAAAATATCTGAGAGATTAACCCTTCCGATTGAGATTCACATTCAACGCGGTCATCATTGGGGTGTTTGGGGGCATTTTCATTTGTAGTTTGAACCTTGTCAACTCTGTCTGGATGTCGACAAAGGATCAGGTTTCGTAGGCTTTATGCTTTTGTGAGTGAATTCTATTGATTTTAGGCTTTGAAGGCCTAATATGAATGCATTAAAATAAATATATCGGTCGCCACAACCGTATATTTATTTGATGGTTCGAACCCTGTCGACTCCTATTGATCCGCATAGAAGGATATGGTTTGAACTTGAATTCACTTATGTACCCGCGCAACATCCCTAAGTGTCACGTGTGTACCAATAACATGCTCGCCGGGGCCCATGCGGGTCAAGATTGTATTTACCCTTTAGTGTACCTATGTGTATACAAATTATGGTGCACATGCATGGGTATTTTGAAAGTATTTGTAGACGCCTTTTGTCCGCTTGCAAGGATGTTACGGATCCGGTGGCGGGGC